CTGCTCCCCGCTCTCCCTCGATCTCCCGCTCCCCCTCGATCTTCCTGCTCCCGCTCCCCGCTCCCCCTCGATCTTCCTGCTCCCGCTCCCCGCTCTCCCTCGATCTTCCCGCTCCCGCTCCCCACTCTCCCTCAATCTCCCGCTCCCCGCTCTCCCTCGATCTCCCTGCTCCCGCTCCCCCTCGACTTCCCGCTCCCGCTCCCCGCTCTCCCTCGATCTCCCTGCTCCTGCTCCCCGCTCTCCCTCGATCTCCCTGCTCCCGCTCCCCGCTCTCCCTCGATCTCCCTAACGTCTCCACCTTGCACCACTGGACTTCGCACACATCGGCCTCGGGTTTGACTCTCACAGTCCTGTCTCCACTGCATGCGTGCAATCAGAGCTGGAAGGTACCTTCCGCCAGCCGGTTCTTCACCTGTAAGTTGAGGGGAGGTCTCCTATCGGAACACTTTCGGACTGGAGGAAATGCAGAGATAATAAGGAGATGGTCTGAAATCGGTGAAGAGCATGTTGAAACTGGAAGGTTTGTTAAGCAGGGCAATGCCAGGGCCTCTCTCCAGTTCAGTCCATATTCTGTCTTCTGATCTGCATCTCTGGTTAATGTTATTTGTTGCTTGGATTTCTTTACTAGTGTTTCAACAGTTTTATTTTGTTTACTTTTATATGGAGTTAAGTGGTGCAAGATCAGTTATCACTTCATCTCAAATGAATGTAGCAGATTCGTGATTTAGCTGCTTCCTACACAGTGCAATTTAAAATGATCTTCTGTGTGCCGTGAAACACTGATTGAAATTGGGTTGAGAAGTTCACGCAGCCAGTTTTTTTTATTTTAGTATGTGATGTACATCAGAAAACGTGACAGAGAGCCGAAATATAGTATACTAATTGAGGTGGGCAGTTGCGTCAGCATGCGTAGTCTGCAAAGGAACAAGTAATAGGTTTATTCCATGCTGAAAGGAGAAGAGAGAAAACTCAACGTCTCGGCTGTGAAGCCTTCTTTAGGTGTTATCACAGCCGAAACGTTGAGTTTTCTCTTCTCTTTTTAGCAGGGAATAAACGTATTGCTTGTTCCTTTGTATACTAGTTTAGCTACTTATCAGTTTTTCTGTGATTGATTGTAATGCTCATATATGTTACAATATAAAGTAGAAACCAGGGATTTCATGAAATCCCTAAATATTTCAGTGATATCCCTGGTTTTGTATTCTTTCGGTAATATATAATGGATGATTTTATGATTTAAGAAGAAATATTTGGTTGACAACGTCATACAAGGTCATGAACAGTATTAATAGGTGCATATTGTGTATATGCACCTATTGTTTCTATCAAATGAACAATTCTCCTCCCCACCTTAAACGGTAATTGTATATGACAGCTGGAATTTCTGGCTGTAGCAGTCCTGCTTGGTGCTCAGTGATCTAATGAGAGCTGTGTGTGAAAGGAGTGATTCTGTAGATGTACATCTGCTTTTGCGCTATCAGGAAGACAAATGATGCAATTAAGTGAAAGAATGATATAGTTATTTTAGTACGTTATTATGTGGTTTCTTACTGCTTATGTCCCACTGGGTTATTGCTGCTAATCCATGCATTTTAGTTTTCTGTGAAGTCTCAAGAACCCATTCTTTCTCCTCCCATTATCTTTCAAAGGAGTGTCAATTAAATTTAGTTTTTAAAGGGTGGGTAGCTTAACTCTCTGCTTAAAAAGCCCTTAAGAAACCTTAAATAACGGCCTCTCAAAGCAACACCAGTGGAAAAAAAGATTGAAACCAGAGTAATGCAATCACACAACGTAAATCCTATTATATTACTTTTAATAAGGCTTCTTGAACAGTGAGATCAGATTGCATCTTAAATAAATTGGTTACTTTCCAGTTATACTCAGTACCGTGTAAGCCTAGTGTACTGTACAAACGAATCCAGGAAAGATTGCATGATAAGGTTTTGAAATGTGGAAGTGATTCTACAAGTACAGAAGAAAGTCTGAAGGAAATCGAGAGTTTCAGACCATGAGGACATTGAGCCTTTGTGAGAAGGGCAAAGTTTTTGTTAGGATACAGCATGGCGCTTTTCAATTTTAGGGGATCTCTGCTGGAGTTTGTTTTCTCATATTAAGGAATTAGAGTAGATTATCTGCAGTGTGAATCTGCAGTTTGTGGGCTACTTGTGTTGGCAGTTAGTTTTCTTCAGGGTCTTTGTTTACAAGCTTTACTTTCAACTCTTAGCTAATGCTCTTCCTTTTATGGTAAAGCTACATCACCCTATATACAGTGTTTGTTTTCCAGACTGGACCTGGACTAGTTTATTCTAAGAAATACGTAGCTTTCTCCCTGCTGTTATTGGTAATATGTCAACATCTGTGCAAAAGTGATTTGTCATGGTCTTGTTAATTGAGACAAAGGGAATTGATGTTTTAAACTTTGTTTGAACACTTTACCTCATTGCATAAAGTACACAATACAGGAGTAACATGAGTTTGCCTCGATTGTGTTATACAAAGAATTGTAAGGTATTGGAGCTAAATGTGTACCCCCTTTCATATGAGGAAACCATCTAAAGACGTTTCACCTGCTACAGTGCAAAAATGTTTGGTGACTTGGCTCTTTACAGTTTGCAAAAGCATATAATAGCATAATGAGATTTTTAGTTTATCATGACTTTGCACTGTCTGTTATTTTGGATATTGAAAATTCCTACCTTTGTATTTGTGTAACTTAGGTGCAAGTGGAGGACCAGGGTCAGATATACATTGATGTACATAAAAATACAGGCTATGTTTTTTAGGTGAAATCAAAATTACTCGGTAGACCTAGTTCAGGTGGGTAGCTGTGTCAGCATGAGTAGGCTGCAGAGGAACAAGTAATAGGTTTATTCCATGCTGAAAAGAGAAGAAAGAAAACGCAACGTTTCGGCCATGGAGCCTTCTTTGGGTGTCAGAAGAGAAGGCTTCACGGCCGAAACGTTGTATTTTCTTTCTTCTCTTTTCAGCGTGGAATAAACCTATTAATTGTAACTTGGTAGGCCGCTGTCTGTCCGTCCCCTTTCCAAGTATTTTTTAATTAATGTTTTGTTTTTAGTTTTCTCTGCTGCTGTGATCTCTGTGCTCTGCTACTGTGGTGTAAGTAGGCCACTGCAACCCAACAGGGATCCCTACTGATGATGCATTCAGATTAGCAGTCTGCTTTCCTTAAACAGAGCTGTGGCAAAAAGAGGCTGCTCTGAAGTTATGTAACTGGTAGATGTGCTACATGCTGTTGCAGCCGGTCTGGCTGGAAGAAGAGACTGTAATGCAGCAGTATCTACAGGGCTAAAGCAGAGGATACAGATGAATATCAGTGTTTGACATTGCATGAACAGAGGATGTTGCTTAACCATCAATTATCACTAAGGCAAGGTGTGGATGTTAACCAAGCGTGGTCTTTAAAAATACTGCAGTAAGTGCACCTGCAGTTTATTTCTACTTGTTGCAGTAGTGATGTATTAATTTGTATGGTTACCTCCTGAAGACCTTCATAGATATTGTTGGATATGCGTAGTGCATGTTTTTTTTTTCTGACCCTAACGGCTGACTCTAGACTCGAGACGACACATGTTTGTGCTGTTTCGTATCTGGGGAGCTCCATCGGAGAAATGAAGAAGAATAAATTCAAGAAGTTAATTTTGTTGATAGCTGGTAAATACTCTTAAACTGGTAGGACAACAGGACAGCTTTATTGGGTTTTCATGCGTGACTTTAGTGTTGAAATTCCTGAAATGTCAGCTGGTTACTTTTTCCATGCAACTTCACAAAAGAGACGCAGTAAGGTTTCTATTGTAATGATCGTCTCTGCGATTCAGAGTCCATTATCCTTTGTCTAAGCACCAACAGATGGCTCTTCTTTACCTTGGTGTCAATTATTAAAGGCCCTTTCCTCTGCATCGATTGATTATTGTTAATTTAATGCACCAGAAGGTCGAGTCATCAACACACCCAGGGCACGGTTTTCTCCATCTGAGTGCAACTTGGCTGTTTGGCAGAAGAGCTCTGTCGGGCAGTTTGATTGAGATTCATTCATAGTCTTCCAGGAGGCCCTGGAAAAGAAAAATAGAAATGCAAATCGGAGCAAGCACATCCGGAAGTTGTAAGATTTTTTTTGTAGTGCTTTGGTGCACATCCCTTTGGTTTTTGTTGGAAGAGCAATGTTTATCGAAGTGTTATTCAAAATCCTTATCCTGTAGCTGGACAAGTAATGTGCTTTGTAACTTATCCTGGTAATTGAATTTTTTTACTTTATTGTCCCTGGTTGTCCTTAAATGTTCTGTAGTGGGAGAGAGATTTGAAGTGATTCCGTATCATTATCTCAGGACAGAAACGCTGATAGAGGAGCTGACAGAATTATATGCTGTTTTTGTCAATTAAGGGTACTGTTTGACAGCTATACATGCTTCAGTCTTTGGGAGGTTCATGAGACATAAAACCGAGGTCCTGACTCTCTGTGGTCATTAAAAATCCCAGGGCGTTTTGAACGTCGCTAACAGGCCACAGATCTGTACAAAACAGAAATTTGTCTCTTAATTATGCTTTCATGCTTCAGTCCTGCAAACCAGAATTTTTAACATGGAACTTCTGTCTGCTGTACAGGAAGGTACGGGGAACCTGCGAGGCTAATTCCTCACTTAAAACTGGAAGAAAACAAATACGTTTTGGCTATTGCATGGGCGGGTGTTGGTTTATACCGTCTAGGGAGAGAAATCTTTCTTAACCTGTGTCTCGTCTCCATCTCTCCACAGTTGCTGATATGCGCTGAAGATGAGTGGGGTGGGTGACAATACCTCTGACCCTGCAAGGGCAGAGTCCAGGAAACGGAAGGAGTGTCCATCTGATCTCCTGGGACCCAGGTAACGCCAGGCGTCACACTACCCGACTTTTCCTAGGATTTTCAGTTGTAGCCTTCATTTACATAATCGTAAGAAAATCACAGCGAGTTGTAGGGAGTCGCAGCGCGCGCCCGTTAATGTCAGTTGTGCAGTGTGACACCCCCTGCGACTCAGTCATATCGCTTTTAACCGCCCCTATGACTCTCTGCGACTCGCTACAATAAAATAAAACGGGTTGGATTTTTCTCGGAGTGAGTGGCAAGTCGTAGGGGTGGGCAGTGAGCCAGATGTGTTCTTGTGAGATAATGTGCTCATTAGATTACACTTTATAGCGCAGTACTTATTTGTTTACAATATTTGTTTTAAAGGTGTTTTATAGTTTTAACTGTTTTATTTGTGTAAATTTGTTCTGTATTAATAAAGTAGAATTATATTTTTTGAAGATGTTTATTTGTGGGGGGAAAACGATGCCCGTGTTCCGTTTTTCAAGATGTTTACGTACTTTTTCTCCGTGTTGTTTACGGTCGTGCGGCGCTCCTCTTGTCCTCCACGTTGATTGGCTGCCAGAATGAGGTGACCTCGCGGTACTTTCGCGGCGCAATACGAGATTTGGAACCGTGATGAAAAGGCGCGAGGGAATCGTGTCATCAGTCACCCCCTGCGATTCCTAGTCGTATAATTTGACACCCTCTAGGACGGAAAAGGCAGGGAGATTCAACAACTGCAGTCGTTAAATTTGACATGTCGAATCGTGTAGTGTGACGCCAGCTCAAGGAGTCTCTGCCTTACAAACAGAGGAGAAGATACAAACAATAGGAGGCCATTCGGCCCATCAAGCACGTTTGGTTTGTGTAGTTAAATGGTCCAGGGATCTCATCCAGCCAGTGTGTTGGCTTCAACAACACGGCTGGGCGGTTTGTGCCTGGCAGCCCTCAAACGGATCCAAACTGATCTGTTACCACATCCTCAAGGCAAGGAAACATCCTTTTAGATTTCTTCTTCCGAGTCATCACTTAATACAGCACTTGGTCTCCGCATGGTGTTGAGCACGTTCTGGCATGCTACACCGCATGCGCAGACCAGAATCTTTTGGAGACAGTGATTATATGACAAAGGGTTACTCCGAGACTACAGGAAGGAAGTGCCAGATCAAACAAATTGTTTTTGCTTCAGTGCATACTAGTTTCAAGATGAAATCTACTGATCAGCTCCTAGGAAGCTAAACATTTTAGTCTCTGGTACCTTTTGTTTTGTTTTGATATGGTACAGCAAGGCAGTCATAATGACGTAGTAATAAATGGCTTTCATCTCCAACCATAACATTACCTACGCTCTGAGCTGTGCTGGGCGCATCTCTTAAAAATTGCTCATTACTTTGAAAAATTGTATCATTGTTAATTACTAGTTGAGAAATGATGCCCAGCATTATTTTTTGGTTAACTGCAACTTGATACCATTATCAAAAACGAAAGCTATTATTTTACGTAAGTGTTTCTTTTAATTGATAGTTACTAAATAGGGAACATGTTGTAGCTTTGTTGCTGGGTGAAATGGTATTAACACATTAAAAACATCAAAGGTTCTTAATCTCTTTTGAAAAGAGGCAATCTTAAATAAGGCCTATGTGTTACATTTGAATAGATCCTTATGCTCTTTAAGTCATCACACCAAGTTAAAAACGTAGCCATGAAGGAAGCTGATGACATTACTAAATCTATGAGAGGCAGATCCAAGTATTGTTTGAGGACACCCGCCAAAAGAGTATAACTGTCAATTCATAATTGGAGAACTGAGCTCTCAGGCACAGAGTCTGTCAGACTGGAACTATGGAAAAGCGATAGTAATATTATTTCTCAGAACACATGAACCACTATTACATTCACTGTGACAAAGTATTTTTCCCCTATCCTGATAATAACTTTCAGTAGTACTGTGGAGACGTTAGGAGGGGGAGAGAAGGAAAGTGTCTTTATATTATTAACTTGGGGAAAAGGTGTGATGTGGTGCTGGTCTTGAAGTTATATAATAATAATCACCATCATCCCTTCCACTTATATAGCGCTTTTCTGGACACTCCTCTCAAAGTGCTTTACAGGTAATGGGGAATCCCCTCCACCACCACCAGTGTGCAGCCCCACCTGGATGATGCACCAGTACTCCCCACACACCAGCTCTCAGTGGGGAGAACAGAGTGATGAAGCCAGTTCAGAGACGGGGATTATTAGGAGGCCTTGAAATTTGGCCAGAATGCTGGGGTAACACTCCTACTCTTTTTGAAAAAAGCCCTGGGATTTTTAATGACCACAGAGAGTCAGGACCTCAGTTTTATGTCTCATCCAAAGGATGGCGCCCTTTTTTTTTAAAACATAGTGTCCCCGTCTTTATACTGGGGCATTAGGACCCACACAGACCTTAAGGTGAGCGCCCCCTACTGGCCCCACTAACAACTTCCAGCAGAAACCTTAGCTTTCCCAGGAGGTCTCCCATCCAGGTACTGACCAGGGTCACACATGCTGAGCTTCAGTGGGATGTCAATTGTGAGTTGCAGAGTGATATGGCTGCTGGCTAAGTTTTATCTCGATTTAAATACCTAAAAAATACTTGAGCACTAAAAATGAAATTTCACTTTAGTGAAATAGTCACTTTAGTCAGCTGATGCACATAGTAGTGGTCTAATTTGGACTGAGGCAGGCAGGGCACGAGGGCCACTGTGAATGCATCTTTTAAAGAAACTTGTGAACAGGCACAGAACAGGAAGCACTTCATTACACAACTGGATGTGGAGTGTGGAACAAGCTGCCCAGCCATATTGTGGAAGCTGAAACCCTGCTACCTTCATGATTCATCCTCAGATCAGTTACTACCTGCTAACTACCAGACGGGCTGGATGGGTCAAATGACCTTGTCTTGCTTGTAAGTTTTCTTACCGATATAAATCAACGTCAGTGATCAGATTCATAAAAACATGGGAGTTCTAACTAGAAAAGCTGCGATTCCACTCCTAATCAATACAGACAAAATAAGACAAGCAAAATATACAGCGTGGATTTCATGTAGATTTTGGAATAAGTCCACAAGCAGCACCTGTGATTTCAGATCCGTTTCGGGATGTTAATAATAATAATAATTTTATTATTAGTAATAAAAATAGAAATAATATTATTATTACTGTACAACCAATATCATCACAATTCAAATGTTTTATATACCCTTTTTTTAGAAGAGTGCTTGAGTGGGTAGAACAGTATTCTCTTCGCTTTAAACATCTCTCTTCGTACTTATGCATTTTGTTTTACATTGGTAACTAAAAATACAGATTTGCATTGCATGTCTGTGCTTAAAATCATTTCTAGGACGCCGAATGACACTGTCCCTTCTTTTGGGGGTTCAGTTAGTTGGCTCATTCAGCCACGGATCTCACGTAATGAACTTGAAATGTCCATGGAAACCAGGTTTAAGGTTTCTTTCACATGAGTTACATCACATGCGTTGTGATGCACTTCCCCGCTCTCTGATATGTGGCACAGGGAGATGGGTTCTTCTGCATGCTAATTATGATTTCCTCTTCAGGACCTCGGCACCTCATCTGTACTAGTGCCAGTCAGGGCTGAGTTGAAAACCACATTCTGCAGATCCCGTGTCGGTATATGTGGTCATCCAGAGCAAAACCAACCAGCTATGAGTCTGCTAATCAGAGGCTTTCATCTAGTTTCTCATATTACTGTCGCCATAAGCAAATTGCCAAGGGCTGTAAGATTTGAAAAAAAAAAAGGTTTCTTAACAAAAAAAACAATGAGAAGAAATTATATTATAGTTAGTACTTTGAACAAGCCACTCATCTTATCTTGACTTGTTTTAATGTTTAAACCTAAAAAGATTCCTCTCCACTTGTGGGATATACCTCAGAATCAAGCAGGCTTGGGAAACGCAGGATGATGAGGTTGGCCAGGTGATGCTGCAGAGCGAAAAGCACCACAAGTACAGAATGAGTGGTGAAACAAGCCAAGGGCAGTTTATTTAGAGAGTAAGGTGGTGTCTGTGTGCCAGGCCGGGCAGGGCTGTCTGTTTCTCAGGGTTGTTCGTTGGTCTTTGCACATTTTCATGTTTGCCTTACACTCATATTACCCAGCTAATAATTCTTAAAATAGTATTTTCAACGGACAGGTCCTGATGGATGTTTAAGTTGAAGTCTATTGTTATATCAATAAATGTCAGCACTTCTATAAAGCTTTCAAACCACAGTATGAATTCTCAATGCTTAATTGTGGTGCGTTTTTAAAAGTAGGACTGTTTGCATGCAAGTTGATATACTCTCGGAAGTAGGAAGTGGTGATTTTTGGAGTTTGAACTTTTTTTTTGTCGGGAAATTTAACCCCTTTAATTAGGTATTGAAATGATTGCATTTGTAATCACATGACATGTTTACATCTCATTTTTCTCTCCACAGTAAATTACTAGAAGACAAACGTTAAATTAGGATTTAAACACAACTACCCACCTGCGTTTCCCTTGCCGTTGCCTCAAAGTGTGTTTTTTTTCCTCTCCGCAGCCCTAAACGAAGCACTGAAAAACGAAACCGTGAGCATGAAAATAAATACATCGAGGAACTGGCCGAGTTGATCTTTGCGAACTTCAGTGATATCGATAACTTTAATGTTAAGCCTGACAAATGTGCAATCTTGAAGGAAACTGTGAAACAGATACGTCAAATAAAAGAACAAGGTAAGAGGCCAACACCGTTTTGATTGAATATGGTGAAATGTAGCTGGGACATAAATGCTGTTTATCTTGGTCCATCAATGAATTTCTTTCCTCTTTTTTGCGTTTCAGAGTTTTTGTAGCATTTGTTGACTTTGTGCCGTGGCATAATGTAAGAATTTTACACTGGGTTTTTGCAAAGGATTTAGACTTACCTTCTGTCTGGGGATGGTAAAGTTTTTAAAAGATTTTTTTTTACCATCAACGCTTGTGGTGGGGGGAGGAAGACGCAGTACCAGACTACCAGAGCCAGCTGTTATTGTGGCAGATTTTTAGTTCGTCGATGTGCCAGGAGAAACGTATTGAGGTTTAATGATTGTGTTAGAGCCTTTTAAAGGGATGGGTGCGAATGGGCACGAGGTTAAGTGCATGCATTTGCACATGGGAGCAGCGATGCTCCCTGCTGCAGCTGTCGCTCATCAGGAGGCCTCTTTAAATAGGCTGAGAGAGAGAGGAACGGATGGAATCACCCGTTTGCATTAGTCTGCGGTTAGAGACTGTCTCCCGGCACAACGCTAACAGGTTGCAGTGGATCTGAATGGGTTTTAGAAGTTAGGAAGGAGAACCGAGCTTGGTTCTTTTGAGGGGATATATGTGTTGCCACCAGCCAGAGAGCATCCTCCACGGAGCAGGTTGACTTGAGGTGTGATGGGGAAGACTGGGAGGGGCAGAGCACAAGTTAGCTCTCCCTATTGGTTTAACGCCAAAGGTGAGGACCTCCGCTCTGGCCCACTGCTTAGGATTGAGGTGTAGCTCTTGGGCAGGGGCCATGTTGGCTGCAGTAAGGTTTCAAAGCTGCCATGTACACTGGTAGATTAGTAGCAGACCTGACTGCTGCTGTGATTACGATTTCTGTCCCTGGCCAAACAGGATCAGCCAGGTAAGGTTATGCTACTTTATACTATACTATGGGTATAGTAACTCTGTGTCACTTTTAAACTCTCGGGTTATTGTTCTTTTGTAGTTATGGTTGCTAAAGCTGAATGTTTTGGTTAAGACTGAGGGAAAGACAGTGTTCGTTATCTGGTAATAAATCCTAGAGGGGGTTGCAATGTTGGGGCTCTGGCCCCCAGGACCAACCATAGAGAGGGAGCTGCACCTATAAGGCTTTATTGCACTGTAACAGTAGTTACAGCACTATCAGCACTATTTGTGTTGTAGCTGAGCAGTTGAGCACAGTAGACTTACCTGACCAACCAGTCACTGCTTCTTTGTCTCATTAATCACTATCAGCTACCTGAAATAGTGTCTTGTTGCTTTTATCTATGTGCTGCTACCTTCAAATCAGTATATCCTCTCCTTTAGAAAATATGATTTTTGTTCACCAGGACCTTTAAACCAGATTTGGTAGAGTGAGCAGCTTTAGGCTCCAGAGAGCCTTGGCATGATAGACGTTTACTAAGAAGTAGTTACAACGTCTGACCAGCGTTGAGCCAAGTCAAGATTTAAAGTAAGATTACAAGACGAGTGAGGAAAGCTGCTATTTGGGATAACATCCTCCTCCTCCCTCTCCTCCCCGGACTGGATTATTTTCTGAAAATTAAGCTTTGGTTTCCTATATTCAGTGAACTGTGACAGCAGGAAGCCCTTGGCTCACATTAGTTTGCAGCTGTTTTGGATAAGTACCGTTTTTGTTTCTTTTTCTGACTCCTGACACAGACTGAATGAAAAATACTGTCCAGTTGTGTGTTAAGACTCTATGAAAGGGTGGGAAAAACAGAGTTTAACTGTTGTCATCGTTTGGGTTCTTTGTATTTGTGTCGGCTTGTGTTCTGTATTTTATCTGTTCCCACCGAAAGCATTGGTAAGGATATAACTTGGGTTGCATTTACCTTATACCCCTGTTCCGTTGTAGTAGTGGAGAGGTTTGATTGTTACCCTGTTGAATGCGTAGAGGCAGCTGTGAGGCCTGGTTGAGAGAGGGTCCTCTGGTCGGCGTGCAGCAGTGCTGTGCTACAGTGCGTCAGCCGTTTGGGTGCGTCGAGGTGGGCTTGGGGACGAGAAGCCCTGGCCTCAGCGTGGTTACATGGATGCCAGACGTCTGCAAATACTGTAAAGGTCACGCGCCGCGGTTTTCTGTTAAATGCAGCGATGCAGGTTTAGTCAAATAAATGGCACCAATCGGCGGTAGCACAGTGATTCCCAAGCCCGGTCCGGAGGGACGCCCACACCTGCTGGGTTTAATTCCAGCCAGGCGCGCAGCTACTTAATTGATACCTTCATTGGCCACTAATAGGAGTAGTGTTTTCAGTGTCTAATGACGTTGAAGGTTACCTTTTAACTATTGAGTGTTTTTAAAACAACGTAGGATCTCCAGATTCTGAATTGAAAAAACATGCTAAGCTTAAAGGCAGTAGTGGTTCCAGTCAAGCAACTCATTAGTTCAATGAAGGATTAAGTTAAGTAAGAAGCTTGACTGCCAGTGGAACAAGCAAGGCTGGAAAGCCCTGGTTTAGTTGCATACATTGCACATGGAATATTCATCACTTGATCATTTAGTTCACAAAGAAGAAAACGTTGTTGCATCTGGCTGTAATTATCCTTAGTGATGGGGTTAGTCAGAATGGACTTGCTTCACTGCACAACACAAACCATATTCTTCTGAGCCAACTGGTCTACTGTTACAGCTTCGGGGTCACTTACAGGCCTGTCAGTTTCTGCACCCAATGTCCTTGTGCTGGGTTTGCCATCTTGGCAATGAGACGTTTCAGATTTCTTCATGAATTTTGAGATTTGAATATGTCCTGCCAAACTGTAAACGTGGTCACGGTTTAAGATTGTCACCCATTGAAGATATAAAGCAGTTATGAAGACATTTAAAAAATCCTAAGGTGGTGTGACGTCCTCGCTTTTTGTGGGCAGAGTGAAGAAGAAAGTTGCTTGGGAAGTTTTGAATTATTTATTATCTAAATCTGCTCTACTTGTAAGTATTGACAACTGGAACTGTGGTGTTGCCCTGACTCATGGCCTGAATTTGAGATTGTGACTCAAATTCCCATTGTGGAATGGAAGTAAAATTAAAACTGTAAAGCACAAATTTTCAGAAACCTAAATTTAGACCAAGCTGACACCTTTAATCTTGCGGTTTTGTGTGAATGAATTGATCAGTTGGGAAGAAGGAGATATATTCGAATTATATTAATAGGGGTAAATCAACAATGATGAAGTATTCAGTATACCCTCATCATTATTTGTTTTGTGTGGTGCACCCTGTACAATTGTATTGCATGTTATATACATTATCAAATTAATTCAGTTGAAATGAACATGGAATTACAATCTGACTTTGAAAACAGTGCCACCAATAAATTTTATGTCTATATTTTTTTTTTCTTGTGAGTAGAAAAGAGGCAGGATTCAATAAAAACAAACCAGCATAGTAAAAAAAATAGCTGAAGACTAGCAAAGGGTCCACAAAAAAATCAAAGCTGATCTTGCCAGAAGAGCAGCTTACAACGGAAGAAATCAAGAGCTGTGGACAGAATGAGTGTTGGAAGAGAACAAAAAATTGTCGTATCTCGGGAAGCGAGACCTAAAGTGCGTTATTGGAAACTAAAAACAGTGTGAGTGCAGGAGGCTTAATGTTCCTGAACAGTGCATTGCCAGTATCATTACCACAGACCCCAGAAACTAGCCTAGAGCAGTGCCCACTGCACCATGCGTTTTGATGAAAACTGAAAAAAGAAGCCAAAAAAAAAGAAGTACAGGAAAAGATGTCAGTTACGACACGGCAAACGTGAGTATCCCGGCTTTCCAAGAACATCAGCTCAGAAGTTGTTGAAAGGAAGTAATCAGAAGAATCGACGTGTTGTTCGAGCTGTTATTTCCCATAAGGCTCCTCCAACAAAAACACGTGAATTCTCCAGACGAATATATTGTACTCCCATTTCTGGAGCCGTGGTTCGCCTAGGTCTGCTTAAGACATTTGAAATAATAAGTTATACCTTGTTTCCACGCTTACAGCAGTAAAGTACTGGCACTTTTGTGATTGATGATTCACTGTCTCCGGAATGTTTTTTGAGAAACATAGCGTGCACTGCTGGGTGAGGACCCTGCTGTGCCGTGCTGGGACTGTGCCTTTCCCCAGTTAGCACCATGCCATGCAGTGTCCTGCTCTCCTAGGAAAGAGCACATTGGAGCCAACACCATGCTGGTGTCCAGTCACACCTGATGCTGGTGTTGCTTTTAAGTGGCAGTGTGAAAGAGTCTAGCGCTACAGGATGAACGACAATGTCCATTAATAAACTGAGAACCCCGATGAGGGAGTTCAGGAATTCTGCAGGAACTTATTAGAGCTTTGCTAAAAACATAAGGGAGAATAAAACATCTAAAAGCATCTGAATGCTGCCATTAGAAACCTAAAAGCGTATCTCCAGGTATCTCAGATACTGAATAACAGTATAGGAAGAAAATACTTTCCAGTTCTGGGAAACAAAGTCTTTTTTAATGTTTTACAAGTTACTGGATGAAATGCTAAGAGATCATTGTATAAATACCAGTGATGGCACCACTGTTGAATATTAATCTGGAAGAGGCATCATGTAAGGGTTTTCTAAGGACAGGCCATCAGATGAGCAAAGCTCAAAAATGTAAGCAGTGCTTTTCTACAGTTTTCATTTCCTACAAACTCTGAGACTTAACGTTAAAAGTGAATGTTAATTAAATATTTGTATTACAGTCTGCCTTGATTTATGTTGTTTGCCCCATTAGTTAGAATGGTGGTTGTCTGAGCATAAGTAGAGACCTTTTGGTCTGTTCTTCATCTTTCCCAGTTAATGAAGTGTCGAATTTAAGTAAGTGCTGCATTAAAATCATACTCAAAACAACCCAGTTTCGCCTACTAAAATAGTTATATGTTTTTGCATAATTGTGATGTTTCTAGGACTTTTGTATTGATTAGCGAAATGTACTTTTGTGATGTTACACCAGTGGTTTCCAGTTCTGGTCCTGGAGTACCCCTGTGT